GATTTGGTTCCAGGGGTTCTGCACAGAAGGCACATTCAGAAAGTGAATGTCTTAGTTCAGGTTCCACCATTACTTGTTTTAACCCCATTCACCTTAATGACAAAGATAATTCTCCATCTCTATACTAAGAAATGGAATTACATTTATAATATTTTTCTCCATGTGAACCTCTTGAGTAATATCATACAGAGTTCTTACTTATTTACCAGCTCATAGATACAGTTCTGTAAAAAGGAAAGGGGGGAAAATTACCACCAAACAACCATTAACACAGTAACAGTGGTGGGCAGCTGAGGTTTTTTCTGCCCACATAAAGGAAAAAACAAAATGGAAAATTATACCCTGAACAGATAAAGTATTTTCTGTACAACAGGAGAGTGAACACACTGCATCAAAAATCATCACCTAATGTTGTAAAATGGCAGTGTAATTATAGGGGAATTGACTTCGTGTTCAGTGGTTACATCAAGTATAAAGTATAGTGGAAAGAATCAGTAAGCTAGAGAAGAAAAAAGTGATATAATTATATATCCCCATAAATAGTCACAGGAGCCTGGCTGTTGTTTAGCTTCTTACTCCTCTGTTTCTAACCTTCAGTGGAGATTTATAAATGTCAGCTTCAACAGCATCTGTCCAGCATTCCTTGGTAGTAATTGTATTCACCATGGATGACAATATCTCTGCATCAGTGCAGAATATACGAGGCTGCAAGTTCTTTGTATCCTCTTCCCTTTGATCATTGCTTCCTTAAATAATATAAGAGATTGCCAAGGTTTAGCTTTAGTGTCTATTTATCACAAAGCAAGCTCCATTGCCTGCTACAGGCTTAAACCAATGAATTCTGGTAGAGACCTATTTTTACTCTAAAATTATAGCAGTGTTAAAATACCGAATTAGTGGATTCCTATAGTGCATGTTAGTAAAATGATATCTCCATTTTTGTAAAGGATCCTAATTATTAAACATAATTTAATCTAAGGATTAAACATAATTCTAATATTTAATTAAAATATTTTGATGTTTTTAACTAAGTTTGTGTTTTCTTCAAATGGTAATGTTTATGGGTTAAGGATAGAATCTGTTATTTAATAATGATGTTTCCTGAATGATATTATTTTGTGTGCATCATGGCCTAGCTTGACTCTGGATCCACTAGTCCTATTTTAAGAAACAGCTCTGTGTGAAGGTGTCCTCTATTTGAGGGCCCACCCAATGCAAGTCTGGATTAAAGAACCATGAGAAAGAAGAACAGGGCCTTTGAAGTCTGCTGCTTGAAAACTGACTCCAGCCAACACAAATAGTCTTCATAGCCTTCCACAAGTGACAAAATGTATTCCATGTAGTGTATATATCTACAATATCTACTTCTGAAATGTAGGAATACATTTATATTAGTATATGTTAACTTTTTTTCTACTTCTTCTTTAGCAATATTGATTGTCACAATCATCTATCACATCAAAGAAGCAGAACATCTGACAATCTTCAATGACTTTGGGGTCAGCAGTAGTTTATATGCATATACAGATCTGTATCTACTAGATCCAACTGAAGGTTTCAAAGACAATTCCTTGCAGAGAAACAGAGTGACCAAGGGTGGGCAAAAAAGCAGCAGGAGAATAACTTCCAACTTCTTGCCAACTTCCCCCATTGAGTTTCATTGTGGGAATCTGGCAAGGAACACTGAAAATATCTCTTCCCTTCCCTTCCAAATTACATTTTTTTTTTCAAAAAAGATTATAGGATTGTAGAATTTTAATTAAGATAACATATGTGGGAGTTAAGTTTGGCAAAGCAAGGTGTTTCTAGAAAAAGTCTCTTTCAACTGCATGCTCTTGAGTGCCTTTTTGACATTCTCTTAGCCAACCTTCTGACAAATATGAACTTAATAACTCCCAATCCAGATCTTATATCTGAGTTTCTCTTGACTTATACACATCTTGTATATCGAATTTCAAACATTCCCAATAATCCATGATAGCATTACTTAGATCTAGTATTGTTCTATCTTATAGTTCCTGGAAATGTGCCACTCGCCCCCCCCAAAAAATGATTTTCTTTGTCCACCCTCTGCAGTACATTTCCATACCCAGAGATGCTAAGACTGGTGGTGATCTGATGGTCTGATTTATTTTTGATTTGAAGGACTAATGGTGATTGGAGCACAAGGGAAATCCAACCTTTCTCCCTCCCCTATCTGGATGTTTTATGCAAACAGCAGTAACTGGGAGACGGAAGGTTGTTTTTGTTTGTTGTATAACTTCTACAGCACTTGTTTTATGTAAATTACAAGGTCTCCAAATTTATTTTGATTTGACTTTGATCTATGACCTGATTTAGAGGGCATCAATACTGTAAAGCATGTGGACACATGTTTGTTCCTTCGTTTGAATGCCACATTCTCTACTTTTCAAAGGATAAAGAGAAAGAGAGACACACAAACAGAATATTGGTGCATCTTTCCTCTTCTTCTTAACAGCTTTACCACTACAAATAATATATCCAATTAGAATAGAATAGAATAGAATAGAATAGAATAGAATAGAATAGAATATCTTTATTGTCATTGCATTCCACGAATTATATAGAAGATCAGTTCAAGAGGTTCAATATGGTGAACCCATAGCAGGAAAGTTATAAGATATATTATAGGATAACTACACTGGTTCCCTTAAGTGATGGCCATTATTCATATATTTCTGAATTTCCACTGTAGTGAAAATGGCTCACGCAAATAAACAATGGCAGACTCTTTATATGCTCATATGGCTGTTCTTTTATAAATTGTTTGTGCAATGTACAGTCAATAAATAGCAATGAAAAAAACAGTGAGGCTCTGTGAATCTTCAAAGGGCATTTGACTTCAATCAAAGCAACACAAAGCAAAGAAATGTGTGGCCCCCACTGAAGGCCTGGTAGAAGTGCTTTTCAGAGATGTTCATACCTGTGCAAGAGACATGTCTGCTGATACTTCTACTGAAGCGAAGCAATCAGCCAAACTGCTGCAATATAGTTTGGGGGTGATAAGGTAGAACAGATTTTTTAGAATTATTTTGACAACAATAGGGTACCTGCAAGGAGGCAAGAAGAACAACTCACATATCAGGATGCAATTCGTAAGGGTGGGATTTGTGTCAAAATGATGATGACATGCGTGTATGTCATCATCTCAGTTCTTTCTAGATACCCGGCCTAACCTTCAATCAAATAACTCCTTTGATCTGACACAAGAATGTTCTACATAGTAAAACACTGAAGCTTCACACAGGCCTACAAAAGTATACTGAAGCAAAAGAGGAAAAAGCATACTGATATCAAACAATGGAAAATGGTTTTAAAAATAAACATATCGCAGCTAAAGTACCTATATTTATTCATCACAGTTCTGTTCCTGCATTCTTTTATACCAGAGATCAAATATGTGACATTTTCTTCATCTGACTCATCATGCTGGGATCCTAACTTAGAAGAGTCTCATCCCCAAGCCTCCTAAATCTAATTAGATGCCTAGTGACTTTCCACCAGGAAGGGTCAGAAAGATCCATTGTATATACAGTTTAAAGGCCTGAGCACTGAAAAATATTAATCACCTTTCTAAACAGATACTCGACACAACATATAAAACATGATCGAGGTTAATCATGTTACATCTAACTGTTACAAAATAGTACTTAAAATGACATTTTTGTTGAAAAGTCTTTGTGGAAGTGCTACCTGGTTTGCTTTTTCTGCTATCATTATTATGGCTAACCTGATGACATTTCAGAGGTATCCTGATGACATTTAATTTATATTGAAACAGTAGGACATTACTTTAAAAAAGAGCCAAGATTAATTTCATGCCTTTTATTTGCCCCAAAACAAAGAAGGAATGTTTTGATTGATGGGCAAACAGAAATGAAAAATGGTAAGTTTATCATGGTTCATTAACTTCTAAGATATAGTTTTCTAAGGTGTTTTAATTTTTTTGTTATAACTTTCTTTTTTCAGTTTTGTTTGTTTAGATAAGTATATATTGTGTCAAGATTTGCTGTTTAGGGTCATTTTAAAATCTGGTAAGTATGAGACTTTGAGTAGGACAAGATATTTTGTGAATCAGTAGGTGATCTGGTAGAGACATGGGTACTATAGTCCTTAGTTAACAATTGTAATTAGGACTGTAATTTCCATCACTAAGCAATGCAGTTGTAAAGCATAATGGCATGTAACTATATTGATTAGCAATAGCAATCCTGGCAGGTTCTGATGCATTAAGGAAGTTTGCATATCATTAAGCAAAAACCTCATCATAACTTTCTGCCAACTTCCAATAATCCAAGTCAGTGAGAAAGCTGGCAAGAAGTTACAAATCCCAAATGGCTTGCAAGGAGGCTAGTGAGTAGGTAACTGGGCTACTGCCAGGTTGCGCAGGTGATCAGCATGGCTGGAGCATAGTAGGAATAGCTACTGCCGGGTGGATAACAGTGTATAAGGATGCATAGATGGTCAGCAGAATGCTGCATAGATCTATGCAGTCATTGACATTTATACAATATCATGTTGTATGTTTTCAAGTGATGAACTAAAAGCTAGGTTCAGAGTGGTATACACTGGCAGCTTGAATTACAGATGCTGATTGTTGCTACAACGTTTCTGAAAATGAACATTGGACTGAAGAAATGTGGCAGCATTATTGCTTTAGTTCTAAGGGATAAAAAGAGCTGAGGAGTGGAGAATGATATAGGCGTATGACATTATGCACAGTGTGGAGAAATTTCTTTTCCCATAACACTAGAATTCGAGATCAAATAATGAAGCTGATTGGTGAGCAAGCCAGAGCAGATGAAAGAAAATACTGCAGAAAACCACAAAGAGCAAGATGAAATGTTAAACAGAACATACAACAGCTTTAAATGATGTTGGGATGTACTTGTGAAGGTTGGCAATTATATGTACTTCCACCAATGTCACAAATAGTTGGCATTTCCATTCCAGTTCAAGGAAGAATGGAAACAATGCTCTGATTGTGGGCTTCTCACAGATCTATCTTTGGCCACAGTAGGGAACAGGTTCTCCAATTATGACCTAATATAATTTTGGTTCCTGCTACACCTTAGTGATTCGGTCCTTGCAGAAGATTGGAGGTTTTACTGAATAGAATTCCAAAGAATACAGGTAGTTAGTAGTTAATGTCCATGCTTCTTAGTTCAGATTTACAACAGCACTGAAAAAGTAGCCTTATAACTGTCCTCAAACTTGATAGTTGCAGCATATCTACTTACAGTCATGTGGTTGCCATTTGGGTGCTTCACAATTGGCATGCATTAATATCCATCATAGCATCCTGCAGCCATATGAGCCATTTGTGGATTTCACAGCCAGTTCCTGTCAGAATTCCAGCGATTACCCTAATTAAATCAGGAGCCTCAAGGCAAACTTCAAAAAACTTCAAAGAATTTATTAGGAACGACATACTGGCAATGACCTGTATGAAGCCAACTAAATTAGTAGACCAGCAAAATACTGTGGACATAATATATTTAGATTTCATCAAGGCATTTGACAAAGTAGACCACAACCTACTTCTTAGTAAGCTAGAAAAAAGTGGAATAGATAGCACCACCACTAAATGGACTCGCAACTGGCTGGAAAACCGTACTCAGTGAGTAGTCCTTAATGGGTCTAAGTCTACATGGAGGAAAGTAAGCAGTGGGGTGCCACAAGGTTCCGTCTTAGGCCCACACTCTTCAATATCTTCATTAACGACTTAGATGAGGGAATAGATGGGGAACTTACCAAATTTGCAGATGACACTAAGCTGGCAGGAATAGCTAATACCCAAGAAGATAGGCTCAAGATCCAGATGGATCTTGACAGACTAGAACTCTGGGCCATATCTAACAAAATGAAATTCAATGTAGACAAAAGTAAAGTCCTACACTTAGGCAAGAAAAACCAAAGTACACATATAGACTGGGTGAAACCAGGCTCAGTAGCAGTAACTGTGAGAGGGATCTTGGAGTCTTAGTGGACAACCAGCTAAATATGAGCCAGCACTGTGCAGCAGCAGCCAAAAAAGCTAATGCAATCCTAAATTGTATTAACAGAGGGATACAGTCAAGATCAAGGGAAGTACTAATACCACTCTATAAAGCCTTAGTAAGACCACACCTAGAGTACTGCACCCAGTTTTGCTTCACCAAATTATAAAAAAGATGTTGAGACTCTAGAAAGAGTACAGAGAAGAGCAACTAGGATGATTAGGGGACTGGAGGCTAAAACATACAACAAACAGTTGCAGGAACTGGGCTTGGCTATTCTAGTAAAGAGAAGGACCAGGGAAGACATGATAGCAGTCTTCCAATATTTGAGGGGCTGCCACAGAGAGGAAGGGGTCAAGCTGTTTTCTAATCCACCTGTAGGCCAGACAAGGAATAATGGATGGAAACTGAAGAAGGAGAGATTTAACCTGGAAATAAGGAGAAACTTTCTGACAGTGAAAACAATCCATCAATGGAACAGCTTGCCCTCAGAAGTTGTGGGAGCGCCATCACTTGAGACTTTCAAGAAGAGATTGGACTGCCATTTGTCAGAAATGGTGTAGGGTCTCCTGCTTGGGTGGGGGGTTGGACTAATGACCTTCCAACTCTGATTATCTGTTAAATCTATCTGTTAAATCTGTTAAACTCTGACATACATAATTTACATTCACCTGTGACCCTGTTTTCCCCCTTCCCCCTGGGTGTCTCATAAATCAGATTCTCCAATTAAGCACATTCATGGGCTAGTTGTCATCAATCATATTCTCCAATTAAATGTTTTCACAGACAAAAGCTCCGGTAACTTAGTTACAATCTTTTAAAGATAAGTGTTGGGATGTACTTCCAGTTTTAAACTGCCACACTGCTCTTCCAGATTTCCTTCCTCCTTGTTTCCCTTGTTTATGGTAACTCTAAAATAGGCATAGGAATGCTTTATGAGTTGACAGTTCCAACAAGCAAAATCAACGGAGAAACCAGCAATGAGACACATGCTGCAACAACGTGATGTCACTCTTAATGACCATGGGTGATTTGCTTAATGAGGTCAGCAGAGCTGATATCATACGTATGGCATGGTGGTGTGATGAATCACTTAATGACTACTTTATTTAGCAATGCTAATCCCAATTGTGATTGTTCAGTGAGTACTACCTATACCCTGTTAGCACCCCACATATATTGACTTTTCAATTCCTATATGTGCAGAATCAGATCCAAAGTGAGCAGTGATGCTTCATATTCTGTGTGGCTGTCTTCACTGTTCTTGCTGGCACTTCCTTAAAAGAAGTCTGCCTATTTCCAAAGTCTCAAAGAACTACATGGCCTCAAATAATAATTCAGTTGGGTTCATAACATGGATTAACAAAGGCAATGTAATTCACTATGCTTTAGCTAAGTCAAACTATTACAATTGTTTCATAAAAAATATTGGTGAAAACCTGAAACTCATTAAAACAGTGATATCACTTTGGCTAAAATTCCCCTACTGCACGCAACTACAGTTAAGTAGCAGCAATACTGAAATTCATGTGCACAAAACCACTAATTAATGTTATTATTCCATGATGCTTAGCTAAATTTATTAGGCAGCAAATCAAGACTACTATCCCAACAAATCATCATGACTGTTGAAAATTAACAACACAAAACTGTGTATCACAAAGAAACTGAGTCTTTGCAGTTTAGGTGCTCACTTAATAATATGTATAGCATGAAGAATGTCTGGTAGAAGTCCAATCCTCCAAGTACTCCTTCCCCTGAGGCTTGGAAATTTAATTGATATTTAGTTTACACAAGCAAGTACTTCTGCACTGGATTTTTATGCACAAAAATCATGGTACTTGATTTTTGATGCAACTGTTGTCCGTATGGAAATTGCAAATAGAAAAAAAATGACCTTACACCTTGTTTTACATACTTTGTATCTGTACAAATGTATTGTTCTCCAGAATCCTGGCACATTTTTTTAACCTCAGATAATACTAGTCACTCAAGAACCATGTCATGAATGTGAAGGTGTCATCAGTATGCATGGCAAATCATATTTGGCTATGCGGTGATAAAAATGAAGATGAACAAAGATGTATCATCTCCACCACCCCCTCTCTAGCTGTTACTTTTCAAAAGAACTATTGTAAGCTCAAAGAGGAGTACATTGCTGTTTGTGTGTCTGTATGCCAATGAAGATGAATTCTTACATTCAGTCAAATTCTAAACATTCCTTTCAAATGCTGCAAAGTGGGCAGCTTTTTAAAAAAGAATGATTTGTCTTTGAAGCATTCTCCTCTCCAGATAGATATTGCTCCTCCACATTTCTTCATTTTATAGCAGAGATAACTTTGGTAGAGGTTTAGTGGTGCTCTGTAGCCCTATAAGATGGCCAATTGCTCCTGTCAAGATTATTTCTTCAATATTGTTAATAGAGACTCAGGAGCTGCTAAAATTTCTGTTCACCAACTGTGATTGCATTGTCTCTATCCATTCTTCAGATTCTGCATTTCTTTGTAAGCTATCTAGGATTACTTTACAATTAACATCAAAATGGATTTATTTTGTAACAACTGTAGACTAGCTATCTTTTTTTAACCATAGTATAGCACAGTTTTATAGAACTTCTGAACATTGTGACAGTAAGATTGAAATATGTTGTTAAGAAATAGTACCTATGGAGCTCTCCTTGGTACACACACACACACACACACCCAAAAACACAGAGTGTAGAACAGGTCATTAACAGAAAATAACCTACTGAGATACACCATTCTTGTTTACAGTGAGACGCTGGTTGTGGCAGCAGGTATATAAAACATAAACTCAACAGGGAATACTGAACTAATAAAAAGACAAGGGTCTATAAAGCACTGAAAAATCCAAAGCCAACTGTGTAGGTAAGGATAGAATAAAACATTTTTTTTTCTCATAAAGCAATCAAAACACAGACTTTTCACCAAAAAAACGAACCCTATCCCCTACTGAGCTGGAATATTTATGAATGATGTTTTTCACACAGGGCCAGCCCTTTAGAAATTTAAATTTGAGGAGCAGAATCCCAAGTGTGTAGCTGTTGCATGTGTGAGAGAAAACAATTTTAACCAGAAACAGTTTCCTATAGCTTCCAGTCACTGAGAGGGCCACAGAAGCAAAGCTCTGTGAAGGAAAGTTAGGGAGCCATCTCATTATGTTGCTTTGTAAATATCTTTGAAAGGATGACCAGCTTTCACTGAAGTGAATCACCCTTTGAACTCTTGCACATATTCAACCTGTAGATCTATTTTTTCTCCTTCTTCTTGTTTATGTGTTCCTATGAACAACCTACTCTGTGAGAAATAGTTTCCAAGAACTATCAGGGAATTTATTTTGGAATATAAGAAGCTGTTCATAGCTTTGCAATGTAGTGAGTATGGAAAAAGTGAGCTGGATGTGTCCTTGCCGTGCAGGGACTGAGGTGTGAGAGAAACTTGTGAATTGTCAGAAAAGTAAAAAAAAAAAAAGAAGACTGCTAGGAACTGTATTGTTGACTTACATCAAAGGTGAGTTATCACTCTTAGCCCTTGTGTAGCTTCGAAACCCTTTTCTGTGTCTCACAGAGGTCCCAAAAATATTTACAGTGACAAAGCATCAAAGTCAACAGTTTGATTTGAAATAAAGCATTTATTTCAGCATAGTTCTTCAGAGAACTATGCTCCTAGGAAACATTTCCTTAAACTCCTGCAATTCTAAATTCTAGGTAATTATGAATCACCACTCTCTGACCCTGAGGTCTCAGCTACTGAAAGTAATGCTTAGAAAAAGGGTGCCTAAAGAATGACCACTATTTGTGCTGTATTTTTCCACACTTTTTGAATGGCTTAAGGGTTTCTGTTTACCCACTTTCAGCAGTAAAATATTTAGCTTCAGTTCCTGGCTTTTCTTTTGGCCTGGTTGTTCTTGATTCAGGCAGGTATCATGGATCAGTTATTATGTGGTTGCTCAGAATACTCACACTGCATATCTTCTGATTTAAGGTTTGCTATTTCAGAATTCTAAATTTTAAGTTTGGTATCTGGAATAGGAAAAAAGAAGTTGACTACTGACACAGGCTTGTATCTTATTAATGAAATCCATTACTGAATTTCCAGTGAATAACTACCTAATACAGTAGAAATGTTTCTGTTTGAGAAATTTTTAATCTATTTTCTCTCTACTCTCAGTGAAAATGTGCATGGTATATAACCTGACCTCCAGATAGCCTGAACCCCAAATGAGGGACTCAGACTTTCATGGGACATAGATTTTCAGAGTCATCCCATTACAGAAGCAGGATTATCTCTGAAATTGAAGGAATCAAAAGGGATCCCGGCTATTTGATTTGCAAGTGGAGCACAGCTAAAAAGATTGCTGGGATTGCCATCTTCAGCAGGCCCTTGAGCTTCAAGAGTGCTGCTGCTGCTAAACATTTTCACAAGATGGTTCGCATAATATTGTGTTTTGTCCATATAATTTCAGCTTCTGAAGTAAGCACTATCTCTGCCTACCCGAGCAATGTCATTAGGCAGTAACCTAAATCAACATTAACAGTCTCTGCAGCTGTCAGGTGTACTCCTGGGCTGTTAGACTAAGTTGACATTTCCCCTTCTATGTATGCTTCCATGCAGGGCCATGCTGGGTCTTGGCTGTTTTGTTTTGTCTTTTCATTCTTAGCATCAACTCATCTTGTGTGGCTGTCAACAAAACTATGGGAGAAAATTATTTGCATCATATGCAGATAATGGTGAGCAGCATTATTAGAAAGGAACTTGATTTCAGGATAATCTCTCTCTCTTTTGCCTCATAAACCTGGCTATTAAATGGTCCTTCCCTAGGCTTAGATTGATTTTGCATTATGGTTGCAGAAGAGAATGGTGTTGAATAACTAAAATTCATTTGGATTGACTCCAGGTTGATCCACCTCATCAATCCAATCCAATTTCATCAATCATTAAAAATGATTCAGGAAATCAGATCAAATTAGTATAATTTTCTGAAGCTGTTAAAAAAGATGGGGGAGTTTTGTGAATATACAAGCTCTCTTTCAAATCACCAAGTTCATTTGGGGGAAGTCATTGCAATATGATTTTCCAATGCAGTTCATCAATAACTCATGTGGGTTGAAAAGCTTTCAAATTGAATCTCTGTGTTTGAGATTTATATAACCACAACAACTAACATTTTTTAAAATGTTCAAATATTAGAAGAGGGGAGATAAGTCCACAACCTCTTTTTTTCAACTTTGCGAATAGTTATACGGTAGTTCTACATTGGATTCATGATACATTTTCTGCATCAAATCAATCTTTCTCTTTATCAAAGCTCTCTTTACAGCTGCTTTGCAAAGCAGAGTGGTCTTCTTATCTCCAAGAAAAAAGCAGAATGACCATGTTTCTTTGTTTTTCTCTTCATTGTGATCTTCTCAACATACCCTTGCTGAATTTGGAAGAAAGTTTAGAGGTACCTTCCTCTCAGGAATTTGTCAGAAATCTTTTTCCACAGTGCTGGACAAAATGCTTTCAGACTGCAAAGCTTTAAGAAATTTGATGGGTGCTGGACAAAGCACCTGAAGGCAAGATAAGAAGCAATGAATGGAAACTAATCAAGGAAAGAACCTAGAACTAAGGAGACATTTTCTATCAGTTAGAACAATTAATCAATGGAATTATTTGCCTCCAGCTCCAACACTGAAAGTTTTTAAGATGAGATTGGATAACAATTTGTCTGGAATGATACAGGGTTTCCTGCTTGAGTAGGGCTTGGACTAGAAGACCTCCAAGGTTCCTTCCAACTCAATTATTCTGTTACTCAACAGGTTGAAGTCTTCCAGGATGGATAGCAAATTCAATAGCAATGGCCCATTGCATTGTAGTTTAAGCTATTGGCTAGTCCCTACATCTTTGCTTCACTCACATTTGTTACTTGACAGTGTTTCATTCTAAATGCGTTATCCCTGAACCCTAATGTGGTTCTGAAAACTAAGTGGAAAGTTTTAGTCTCCTGTTTGAAAGACCTTGCTAGATTTCTGTGCTAAGAGGGCAGAAGATGCTATTGTGTATTCCCCAACTTTTGCCCCCCTTGCTGTTCTCACTTGCTGATTTAAAAAATCATAAGAGATTAATTCCCTTTAGGTTTTTTTTTCCTTGTGAATTAATCCAAATGCAAATATCTTGGTCTTGTAAATAGCTGAAAAATGACAAGATTTGACCCTTACAATCTCCCCTTGACCATCTCATACACAAAGATAAGTTAAAAAAAAGATTTCACAGCAATTAATAAGGATTCCATATTAAAACAATTTCTTTTCTAGATAAGGATTTTTGAAAAATGCAAAACTAGAAAATGCAAAGCAATAATCAATAACCAATCTTTGTACTGTTTTTCCTCTCAAACCAGTTTTGTTGGGACCGTGAAATAAAATGGTACTTTTCCAATTCAAATCAGATGGCAGCCTCTAATTTACACTACATGTTTTCCATCGCTTTTTAAAAGCTCACATGTGTTTCATATTTTTAAGGAATGATACATTTTTTTTAAAAAATAAGCAAAGACCAGTCCAATATTTTCAGTTCAGTTGGCAAGAGTGCTAATTACATTATCACATATTCAGCAGCTTTCAGCAAAATTATTTATTCATTCGTCCTCAAGGCCTGAGATGCCTAGCAGGTCAATTCCAATAAGCAATACCTTGTGAGCCTCAGCCAATCATATACACAGATAATTAGATGTGGAGCTGTGTGAAAAAATCTTCCACACCAAAGCTAAACTTTGGAGATTTGCCTTTTTGACGGCTTCGTGACTGAGTGAGGAAATTTACTTGTCGCCATAAGCTAAAAAAAAAAAAAAAAACTCCACAAAAAATGTATAAAACCTTTGTAAAAAAAAAGGTGGGAAGATAAAGAATGAAATTATTCTCTCTATATATTTTAGATGCTGAATTTTAAATATAAATTCTTAAAGGAGAAGTAAGTTATGGGAATCAATATTTAACATTTAAAAGCACATTTTAATCAAAACCACAACTAATGATGAATCTATTGGCATGGAACAGAAATAATTCAAATACAATATTTGATTGTTACAGCATAGAAATGAAATAGGCTTCAAACATTGATTTTATATATAGTTGTATTCACCGTTAGACAAGCATTCTGGTTTCAAATGACTTACCTCTTGAAAGAATCCATCTTTTTTGCTCTGCTTTTTGTTTTAGAACCTTAATGAGTTTATTTCTGTCTTCTGAAATGGCATCATTGTAAAAAAAAAAAACCTACCCTGGTGTTATTTAGATTTCATCCTGAAGTGTATGAATTAAGACTTCATGTTGCAAGGTTTTGCTAAAATTGTATTTTTGTTGTGTTGTTGTTCTCATCTCAAAAGACATAAAATAGATTTCAACAATTTGGAATGGTCTTAGCTTCAGGTTGTGAACTAAATATTATAAGTTTAATATTTAACAGCTATCCATAGACCTGGAGACCCAAAGATATCTGCATGGGAGTGTCAAAATGTGTGGCAGGCCTGGCATCACAAACAGAGCCGACCTTCTTGAACATGCAAATTAAAGAGGCAGGGCTTTGATTATGACATTCTGATCACTACCCTGTACATTTTTACTGTTCCAGCCTCTGCACCCATCCATGTGAAAACCTCTAGCATAATTTCTTAAAACTACATTGGGATAGATAATAGATCTAAAAATCCATAATGTCTGCTATGCATTTTAATCAATATAAAACTATTTAAAGCCACAGATGCATAGATCTTTCTAAAGTCTTGATTTAATCCGAAAGATGCTTTGAAAATTACACCAAAGAATTATTATACTTTATGTGACAGAAGAGGGAAAAAGTGCTAAAAAAAGAAATACAACATTAAGCATTATTAAAATTCTATTTAAAGGTTAATTAAATTAAAATTATTTTTCCTAACATTTTTATACCTTTGCTATATCCTAACTTTTTTTAAAAAATGTGGCTTCTGGAATTCTATTCAAAGATTAGTTGCTATCCACTACCCAAAACTATTATGCCTCCAGAGTTTTAAATCTATTATCTATCTGAATACATCACCCATCTCTTTCTCTCTTTCTCCCACTCTGAAAAAAAGTAAAAATAGAATAGAATAGAAAGAAAAAGGCTAGAAACAAGTAGCTCCCAATCTTCTTTACAGAAATGATACGTATAATATACTTACCTCTTATTTTATGGTTGCATCATAACTTTCTTTTTCTCTCATCTATTCATTTTTTCTGGTTTTTGCAAAAGGTCCACAAGAGTTTTCCGGTCAGCTGACTTCCAGTGGTGTCTTCCTCGTCGTTAGACTGGAGACTGCGATCGTCCATGGCTTCTAGCCATGCTCTCCCATCGGGCCCTGATTATCTGCATTTCGGCCCAGAACCACCCTGTAGGGATGGTGAAGAAGGGAGAGACCACCAGCTGGGTCAAGGGGAGCTGCATCTCTCTCCCTGGCTAGGCATTTTACTCCCCTCTGCAGACGGCTGTAGCAGTGATCAAATATGGCCACCCTGAAGAGGAAGAGCTAACTGGGACAAGTTTGTGCAGGAGCAGTGAAGAAGAGGACGGCATGGAAACCAAGCTAATTAGATGCAACATCTAAAAATAAGGTACCACAGAATTAAAATATCAAGGAATCTTTAAGAAAGATAACTAAAGCTGCAGACAGAGAAAGTGAAGAAAAAAATTTTTTTGACAGCTAAAAGTGGCTTCGAACTTTGAAAGCCAGAAGAAAATATCTGTTTAAATGGGATAAATATATGATCTTGACACTAAGTAGGCATAACTAAAGCTGAACTTGAACATGTCAAAGGAAAAAAAATAAAAACAGGAATTGATATGCATTTATTGGAACTTTGAATTCTAAAAAGCCATAAATAGAGGAAAAAACAGGAGAAAAAAAGGGTGGAATTTGGATATAACAGAGACTGCCATCTAGTGGCAAAAAAATTTATTCGTGATTTTTTTA